TCTTAAAATGATTGATTTTTACTTTTTCACATAAATAAATAACATAAAATTAAAAATAAATAGATAAATGAATAGGATTACATGGAAATTTAAAAAAAAAAAATCAATATCATATATTTTAATCTCAAAAGAAAATCAGGATAAAATAATAATTTCACACCTGGTTGCTTCCATTTTTAGCCATTTAAGGTTCTTAATAAGTAAGAGCTGCAACCGATAAATTGCCATCTTCTGCCCTTTCTGCTAACCCAAATTTCTCCAACAATCTGCCCTTTCTACAACTATCCCCTTCCCTTTCAGTGTCTTTACTGGCCCAGCTGGACCAAGATTTATGTACACCAAGTACAGGAGAAAAACAAAAAGACCCAATACAAAGATGGAAAGCTGGAAAATAAACATGGATACATATTTCTTCTTGTATTGTCCTCCAACCACAGCTCTCTTTCCCCTCAAACAAAAACAAAATTCCCACAAATACCCTTCACCTCTTCTATCCCATCTTCCATCACTTCTCCTTCAATGGGTCTTTTTGGCTTCTCACATTCATCAAGGTGTTTCAGAAGATACACCGAACCTTCTCTCTCCTTATTGTTACCTTTCTCGTTTTTCTTTTCCTTTTAATCTCATTAGGTCTCGAGTCCTCATTCCCTTCTTTCAATTGGGTTTCCTCTGTTTTCTTTGATTTGTCGTCAAGCTTTGATCTTTCATAGAAGTTGTGAGGAATTTTTTTTTTTTTTATTCTCTCGCCTAAAGTTTCAATTTTTGATTTCCTTGTTCTTGTGGAATTTGGATTCGGTTCTGGATGTAGTGGAATTGAGTTCATGTTCTCTCCTTATTTAATAATCGAGGGTTATAATTTTTCATCAAATTTCAATTTTTGACTCTGAGATTCAATTTTGCTGGATATGATGAAAAGGGTCCCTTTGTACCCTCATCAACCGAATTCTATGGATAATCAAGCCAAGGCACGGTCCAAGCATCAAACCCTACTGGAGGACTACTTGGAATTGCAAAAGGTTAGCACTTTTCGCAGTAATTTTTCTAAACAACCCTTTTCCCTAGTACTTCCATGCTACGAATGCCTTAATTGTTCTTATTGAATTGATTAACAAAGGATTGAAAGTTCATGATAAGTTTGTAGTTTATTTGGTTTGCTGCAGTATGTTGACTTGGATGTTGATTTTACCTCCTTTTAGTTTCCTAGTTGTACCAAGGCAAAAGAATGAATGATAGAATTGAACTGCCATTCAATATTTTAGTTTCTGCATAGTCCTAATATGCCCCAAATAAGCTATAGGTATATATTGATTCGGTTGATTGAAGATTGCGGTGTTAATGCCTAAGAATGCCATTAGGAGTCTTTTAGGCAAAATCTAAACGCTTTTCTGCTCCTTCTTCTTTTCTATGTTCTCAATGCTCATGGCTTTTCTATGTCCAGTTAGAATGATTCTGACACAATAGAGTGCTTGGGTTGGCTATTAACATCTTCATGCCAATTGCTTCTAGGACTTTGTTTCAATGAAGAAAAAGTTGCAGAAGAAGAAGCAGGAAAGAGAAACCCTTTGGGCTGAAGTTAGGTATGATCATATTTGTTTACCAAACTTGTATGGATTGGCAAAGGCATCTAGCTTTTGATCAAGTAAACAATGAATGACCTGAGAATGCTGTTTTCCCTTAATTATAGGTTTTTGAAACGGAGGCATGAGTATTTAACAATGTTAGAATCCCAGAAATTAGAACTTGAGCAATATTCTGTTGAACCCCAAGATAGCAAAATGCTTGCAAAGGACAACAGTCATGGTGCAGATGGAACTCCTGGGAATAAGATATCTTCTCCTCCTGCTTTGAACTCTGCTGCGGTATTTAATTTGGAATCTTTGAGACTTGGAATTCATTGACTTGTTTTGTGTGCCATGTCAGTTTTCATACCAATGCTGGTATTCATTTTGACAATGCAGGTTGAGGAAAAGGGGAATAGGGGAAATAAAAAGGAAGCTCAGGATCCATTGAGAGTGGAGAAGAAGCGAAAGGGTTCTTTGATCAGCCGCAAGAAAGTTGAAAAGAAGAAAATTTCATGGCAAGATCCAGTGGCTTTGAGGATCTAATAGCTAATCTTTTTCGATATGGTTGACAGAGAAGTTGGGCTGGGACAAAGCCTGCAAAACCATCCTTCCATGAAGGGAAACCGTTCATTGGCTTTCATGCAGATCATTATTATTTTTCCCCTTTGTTCTTCAATATAAACTGTGAGGAGAAACAATTCTTTAGTTTGGTATACATGCAAAATGTAAAAAGCACCCATTCATTGATTGAATGCTGATAGTTCTGGTTATATATCTGATTCCCAAAACTGGAAATGTTACATCATGTCAAATGTATCCATTGCCCATGTTTTAAAGAACTTCCTCCTTGTACCTGACTACACGGTGTGGATGGTTATAGCAGGAAAATGGGGAAACAGATAGAAGGCACCTGGAAGTTGAAGGTTAAAGGAAATGGGGAAGCCTGCGCTGAGCAACCACCATTGTATTCTCTCTTGTTTAAACATGGGGAATTGGTTGAACTCCTCCCAACTAGGCCGCAGACTAGTTCAACCATCATTATATTTCAGACAAACCGATTCACTGATTTCATATACTTAACAACCTAATTCAGTGGTAACGTGGATTTACTAAGAAGAAACATTTTTTTTATCAGGACAGATGGGTGAAGTGTGACAATGAATGAAAATTGACCCATGGATCAATCATAATGGATAAGAAACAAACAAATAATAATTAATGATTTAATTAGCACAAAAATATAAAATTATAATAATATAGAATCAGTGGAGACCGAATAGATAAAAGCAGAAATTATGGTAGAGATTCAATCTGTACACGTTATTAAGACTTGCTAACCTTAAAAACGCCATCCTCAATCAAAACTTGAAAAATCAAACATACAAGAGTTCTTTCTTAACATGTCATCCAGTCATTTGTGTACTATACCTTCTAATACCATCAACACCATAGAGGACCTTATAATCTTTGTTCAACAGGTAGACTATGCCGCATGGATGTGAAACTTCCATTGTCTACTCTGGTTTACTTTCCTCTGATTCTGATTCAAGGGCTACAGAATTGGAACTTGAGGTTTGCTCAGCTGCAGAAATAGTAGACTGTATTGGCTTCTTGAACTGCACCAAGATCATAGTCATGTTGTCGCATCCCTCACCACCAACTGTTGATGGTGCCAAGCACTTGTCAAGTACTCTCTCACACACAACAGAAAGTTTGCTTTCCTGCATAGAATGGGATGTTTTAAGCTTCATGCCAGTCCATATCAAACAATAAACAATGCATCCATTAAGCTTTTACAAGGCGACTAGGATTTATGTACCAAGGCTAGTTGCTCATGAATAAAATCCACCAGTTGCTGGCTTGACATGCAATCCCTGAAAACAATCAACGGAAAAAAATCAAATCATCCACATTTCTAAAATCCAAAGAGAACACAGTCCAGAATCCTGCATACAGCATACCAGATTCCATCACATGCCAGAACCATAAAATCATCATCATCACAGAGCTCAACCTAACAGGAAAACAGGACCATGTTAATTGATGGAACTACAAAACTCAAAAGAATTTCAGATTTCATAAGAGATAAAGCAACTGCCATTGTCTGGAAAACTAGGATCACCAAAAAAAAAAAAAAAAGGAAAAACACAATCATGTACAGTGTTTATATCTGGATTTGCAGTGACAATTTGCTTTTCAACAGGCAAAAATTTATTCTGCTTGAACTCCATGTCACCTGCACAAGGTAGGGAATGCCATAATGAATTAAAAGTTGAAACCACCAATGATTATCTCTAGACATCAAGCACAGAGGTATTACCTATAGCACGTGCAAGATTTAAACTGCCATTGACTCGTCCTGCATGTATAAAGCCACCAGCTTTTAAAATTCTTTCTTTCTCAGTCTCAAGATCAGGCTTATGGTCTCTAGACATATTGAATGCCTACAAAAGAGAAGCAGCTAAGAAGCTATAAAAAACATCTCCTCAAAACAAAAGAAACAGGTAATGTTTGATCCCCATTGGTTCAAAGTATCATGGCAATTCTTCTTCTGCTACTAACTCCTGAAATTGGCACAGAATCTACCAACTATTTTTAATTCCTCACCTACTGGTTGGAAATTACCTGACCCTTCCTGGATATCACACAGCGAGAATCACCAGCATTTGCCACAATAAGTTGGTTGGGTCTGATAATTGCAACACAGGCTGTGCTTCCAGAATTAGGTCCAGAAAAATCAGAATGAGGGCCCTGTTAAAAATATATTTTTAAAAAAAATTAGAAGATACATAACTCTAATTAGGCAGAAATCTTCTAAGAACACAGAATGATAATAAAATGGGTAGAAAAGGCAGAATTGTTGGCAATTAAGTAAAATAATTCTGAGTAGGCTCCTTTCATTTTCAAAGTACCTCCTCAAAGGCCCAATCATCAACTTGGTTACTACCATCACCACCCCTTGGAGACCAAATCAACCCTTCTATCATGCCAGTAAACTTGTTTATTTTATCACCCAAAACAGCTAGTTCCCTCCATCCTCGTTGTCCACGCATCATCTCATCCATTCTGCATGAAAACATAATTCCAGTTAAGAAAAACAGAACACAAACAACAGGCAGATATTTGTGATCACTGAATAAGTGTGAAATGTTCCAGTCACAAGAGGGTAAAAGGAACACAAGATTAGGGGGAAAACCATCACTCATAATTAACTTAGTCTTTCCAATGGTTTTTTAAAAGGCATCTAGATCTTGCCTGATTGTCTCTAGAATAAGGAACTGTTACAAAGCCACAAAACCCCTAACATAGTTAAAAATTACTGACATGTAATTTCTAACATTAGTGAGATAAAATTTAAGAGTACCATATAGTCTCATACATGAGTCTTAACATACCATCCAAGTCATTTTAGAAGTGCATGGCATCATATTTTACATCCATACCATTCACAAAACAGTACAGGAACTATAACCCAGGAACTTAATTAGCAACCTGAAAAATGCTTTCTGAAGTGATGTTCCAATATCTCCAGCGGCATATGCTTCATGCTTGAGAACCTGCTGGTGAAGATACTTTGCACAAAACTTTGCAACAACCCTGCCTGCCATGCAAGTTATGAAACCATATAAACTTGCAGATATCTAAACACCATTGGTGACGAGCCTTATGTGTGCATTATCTCAGTTAGGTTTACTTTAGTTAGGTCCAATTCCAGTACAAGAAAAATTAAAAGAATGAAATAAATAACAAGCTCCAGCTGAAATGTACAGCTACCTTAATGAGCCATCCAATCCTTACCTCCATGACCATCATATACACCAAAGAAAGCAGTACTTGCATCCAGATCAGGATATGCAGCATGCTATGAAAACAAATAATGCCAGTCACTAAAACATATCTCTAATAGAGAAAAGATGCAGGCATTATAGAAAATAACATATCTGAATGCTTAAAACACTTTGAGAACACAAAAGATTTAATTTGTTACTCACAGCATCTTCCATGGTTGCACGCCATCCTTGCATGGATGATAGACCATATCTAAGCCTATCATTTTCACCATCCTCTGAGAACTTCTCGGTCTTAGGGGTGCTGAGATATATCCCCATCTCTATCTGAAAGGAAATGAAAACCACAAGAAATACATGCTAAATTCACACATTCAGACTTCAGCCCACAAACAAGAAAGAAACTGCAAAGAAATTTCCCTTTACATGTCATAACAGTTAACATCCCCAATCATCCATTATTAGAAACAGAAATGGAAAAATACCAGTTATTTGTTATTATCAGCAAATCGAGATCCCTTGCACAAGTTACACAACTAAACAAAACAGAACTGTTAACCCATTTGGAACCACCGCAATTCAGACCCAATTACGTAAAATTGCATCCCATTTATTTTTGTCCGTTCTTTCAGCTCAATGAACTCAGAAGGGAGTCTTCTGTTGATATGATCAAATTTCCACCACCACGATCAATCCCACCCTCCACCTCTCACCCAAGTTAACATTGTCCTTAACACACAGGAATGCATGATTGATCAGTATCGGATTAGTAAAAGAATCCTGTATAGTCATGTCAATCAATAAATATTGAGCAACAAAACGGCTGATAAAAATGACATATAAGTGAAAAGCTTGACAGATGGAGATCCTAATATTAAATGAAAAACCATACCTACAAAAGAATCTTGAAACAACCATAAACTTACTCCTTTATCATACACAGCGCTAACAAAGTTATCACAATCAGAAATCACTCAAATCACAGAACACCAAAAACCCATACACTAATTCCATACATAATGATCAAAACAACACAAGATTCAAGCAAGCAAGAGAAGCTACTATCCAAGATTCATACGGCTTTAAAAGTACATAAAAGTTACACACGTGATTGAACTTCAGTACAGAGATCACTAGAGAGGAACAGCAAATGGGTAAGATCGAAACTTGCCTACCCTCCAAAACAAAGACCCAGAAGAAATTTCCAAGAATCTGAGAGGAAAAAGCAGAGAATTTTCAATTATAGAAGCAGAAAAAACCAAGAAAAAGACACTGATGAGAGAGAAAAATTCAAAGGGTAAGTAAATAAATTACAGGTAGAATATACTACACCTTATTGTTAGGAAAAAAGAAGAAAGGCGTCGCCTTTGCCTTTCCCTAACAACAGATTTTTGGAAAGACTCAAGCTTTACGTTTAATTTAAAGCAAATGATTTCTTGTTAAATTTCTTGTTAGGTTTGGGGAAATTAAATAAGAATTTTGTCTAAAATGTTAGCTTTAAAATATGTCGTCATCAATAAAAATTTTTAGGATATTTTTGAAAAAAATAATTTGATTCTTAAATGACAATTAGGTACAGTAATTTGTCGATTATAAAAAATTAAATTTATTAAATAATTAAATTTGATATTAAGTTCTTACTACTCATTTGATTTTTAATAATTTTAATTTAATTTTTAATTTTTATATATAAATTTTAAATAAAAATTTAATAAATTATATGTATAATAATTCAAAAAAATTTTGCTTGATATAAAGTTTTTATCTTGTATTT